CCCGAGCGCTTCGGCGCGGCGGGCGAGGATGCGTGGGGCGCCTCCGGCCGCTTCCATTACATCCCCTTCGGCGGCGGAGCGCGCAGCTGTCTCGGCCAGGAGCTGGCACAGGCGGTGCTCCAGCTGCTGGCGGTGGAGCTGGTGCGCACGGCGCGCTGGGAACTGGCCACGCCTGCCTTCCCCGCCATGCAGACCGTGCCCATCGTGCACCCGGCGGACGGGCTGCGGCTTTTCTTTCACCCGCTCGCGCCTTCGGCAGCGCGAGATGGGCTACGCCTCTGACCCGCTGCGCTTCGGGACAGGACTTGGCCAGTGGCGGAGGCGCGCTGTCAGCGCCGCCCATCTGCGGTTTCTTAGTGCCAGGTCGGGCGCTCGTTCAACAAACGGTCACCGAATGCAGCTCTGTGCCAGACTTTGAGGGAGGAGGAGCGCGGGCCGGAGCAACGGCGCCCCGCAGAAGCGCCCAGGCCGGCGGGAAGGTTCCTCCTGCGCTCTGCGCCCGGAGGAAGGAAGGGTCGTGAGCCTAGCCTCTTAAGCCTTTCCCAGTATCTCCACGCAGAGATGAAGGGAACAGATCTTCACCAGGAGTTGCGGGGCCTCGCCTTCCGGCGCCAAGCCCGGGAGGTTGCCTGGATCTTGGGGTGGCCGGGAGGATTGCTAGGGCAGGATTGGACGGCGCCAGAGACCCAGCGGACGCGGCTGGACCTGCAACCCTTGAGAGGAAGGGCATCTCCGGCCTGGCTTTGGGCCATAGTAAGACACACCGAGAAGGCGCCCAGCGGAAGGCCCTCAGGCAGCTGACCTCGGCTTGGTGCGCTGAGGCCACTCTGCTGGTCTCAGTCTCGGCGGAAACGCAGAACTCTGGGCGCTTCCAGGGCTCTAAATGGCTCAACATCATTGATTCCGCTGGCGACTTCGTAAAAGAAAAATTCCTACTTCAAGAACGCGTTTAATCTTCCCATATATACAGGGGAGAATAGGCACAGAGAGATGTCTCTAAGGTTGGATTATTTTCATGGGAGGTTGAGACATAATCAGAGAGGTTTGGGATATTTCTACCCAAAACAGGAAGGCCAAGAAAAAAGTTTCCTGGGAGCAGTTGAGTGAGGAGGCTAGGGCTTAGCTGGGCAGCTGCTCCCTGGTGGGAAGGTGTGGGGTAGTAGGGGTTGGAGGATACCCAGGGAACCCCCCCCCCCAAGAGTATGCCAGAGCTTTCCTCCTGAGCAGAGCCCAAAAGCTGGGCTGAGAATTATCCCTGTAATAGTTGGCTGCAGAAGCCTTCCAGTTTACTACCTCCACCTACTCCACTGCATAGGAGAAACAGGCAGAAGACTGCCCGGAGGAGCTAGCAATGGGCTCCTGGACTCCTTGGCCAGTGCTGTCCTCCACCTCATCACTTACTCCCTGCTCCAGCCTCTGGGCCTGTCGCCACTATGTAGGGCTCAGCCCTCTGTCCTTTCATAGTGATCCCTAGGTTGGCTTAAGGACTCCAACACAGAGGTTCCCACCAGGGTTTAAATCAAAGCCAAGAGCCTCCAGCGTCACCATTCCCAACAGCCCAGTGCAACCTGCCACCCATCTTCAGACTGGTCAGCTGGACATGATGGGTGAGCCCGAGAAGTTGCCGCCCAGGCCCTGAGCTGACCCCTTAGTGAACCAGAAGGAAGCTGGTGCCCTCCTGACCTTATGCTTAAGGTGGATCCCCGGGGCCAGAGGGAAAGGGGGAAGCAGCAGACGCACGCAGGGTCGGTAGCTCAAGAGCTCAGCGGGCCCTTCCGAGCTCGGCTGACACTGCCATAACCCCCATCCAGGGCAATTCATCACCCACTGCTGACCACAGACCCGGCGCCAGGCCCTGGGTTCGGCAGGCCCTGGAGCCAGCAAAAGTGGCAGAATTGGGGCCTGCCCTCAGGGCGCTCCTGAGGCTGCAGAGACCACATCCGGGCTGAGAAGCTCCCACCAGGGAGGGGGCAGGAGGACCAGGGCTTGGGGTTGATTCTGAATGGGGGAGAGAAGAGCAATATGGGGAGGAGGTTTTCAGAAGTCCCCATGGTGTAGGTGGTTCCAAGAGACTTGGTTTACCTGTTCTGGGACCTGTACTAACTATAAGCTCCAGTAGGGGCAGCTCCAATTTCCCATTGATAATATCCTTTTCAGTAATTTCAGGGAACACCTGAACTCTTGTTTAGTAGCTCCAGGTTCTCTGAGGAAGGAGCATTCTGGTTCTTGCCTTCCTGGACCGCATATGCTTAGGAAGAAGACCATAAACTAGCAAACAAAGAGCACCAGAATGCAGACTGGTGCTAAGTGCTCTCAAGAGAATAAAACAGGTCTGTAAGACACCGTACCTGGGGGCTGAACCCTGCAGGGTGGGAAGGGGAGACTTCTGTGAGGAGGTGACATTCAACTTTGGAAGGAACCAGCCAGCGGTGACCTGGGAAAGGTGCTCCCCAAGCAGAGGAAACAGCAGGTACAAAACCCTGCGCCCCCAGACGGGAGTGAGTGCTCAGGAGGTAGGAAAGGGTTGGAGGGGAAAAGGTGGAGGAGGGGTGCTTCTGCTGCCAGAGCTCACCTGACTCCGGTCTACCTCTGGGTCCTCACTCGCCTCCTCCAGCAGAAAACTACTCTCCACCCCCAGCCCTTTGCAACAGGGAGGCTGTTTTGTAAACATCTTGGAAATATTTTGCTTTCCAGTGAACCAATCCTCCTCCCCGCCCACCACCACCCAAGAAAGCTTGGCAAGTTTTCTAATCAAAGTTCTTATCGGGCTGATAATTTATTGACCCCTTCCTCCATTCAAGATGCTCTTTAATGATCTCCACTCTCACATTTAATCCTTTCCTGCCCGATGCCCCGGCTGGACGCCCCCGCGGGTCTCGATGGGCAGATTTATTAAAACTCCCCGCCTCCCCTGGCAATTTCCAGCACGCAGGCCCCACTCATCTTGTGACCCGGCGCGCACTGAACTTGGCGAGGTGGCCCTGCCGAGTTCACTCGGATGTCACGGTCCGGCCTGCAGGGGTCACAGGCAGGTCAGGCCAGAGGATTGGGAATGGGCCCCAGGTCACGCCCCCGCTCGCCGGTTTTGCTCACCGGCCGGAGCAAGGTCTCGAAAGGGGCGGGCGCAGGATTTCTGAGATCAGTTCTAGCGCGTCTCGCCAAGTTTCCGCCGGTGCCCCGAAGCTGGCCCGCACCGTTTACAGTCGCCGAATCGTGAGAACAAATGACAGTGGGAGAGCCCCTTCCCTAGAGCCTCTGAAACGCCGAGTTCCAAGCAAGCCCTATGGCGACTCCGGCTTGGAGCGCTGCGGGGACTGCGCGGTCCCTACCCCTCCACAGACATTTTCCAATCCCGCCCGCTTTGGGGACCACCGCGGGAGGGCCACGTATTTAACAGCTCTTAGGATCAAAGAGTTTTCCATTTCCAAGGGACGCTTTCCAAGGCGTGCGGCGTGCTCCTGCAAGAGCCGGAGTTTAGTTTTTAAAAAACGTACTTCATTCTGTTTAGTTTTCGGCGCCGCCGGTGCGTTCGGCGCTCCAACCCAGGATGCGTGTGGGCCGGCCAGGTGGGAAGTGGGGTGCGCACGTGCACTTCCCGCAGTGTCGGAGCTCCCCGCACTGGCTGCAGTAGCAGCTGACTGCAGTTGGGCGAAGGCCAGCCGACCCGCTTCCCAGTACGGATTCCCTCAACACTCCCATTAGGGGCCGGCAGAGGCCCGGTTGAGGGTCGAGCACCCCAATCACCTGGGTGGCTTCGGTGGGTGGGAGCTGGGAGAGGCTGGGAGAGGCTCGTGGGTCCCGAGTCCAGGTCATCCGGGTGAAGCAATCTAGCGTGTGCGGAGGCGGGAAAAAGTGTTTGCAACCAGGGGCCCCTTTCGAAAACTCACAACTGCCCCGGGGTGTAGACAGATCGGGGAATTACCGCCTCCATATGAAGGAGAAGAAAACAGGCGCAAGGATGTGTGGTGACTTGCTCAAGGTCATGCAAGTAGAGATGGAGCCAGTCCCGGAGTACAGACTCCCAGGTTTTCCTTCTTCTATCTCTGTCACCTCATCTGCCCAGGTCGAAGGATCCTCTCGCCCTCTGCCTAGGTGGGGCTGTGAGTCCCAGGGCCCTCGGAATCCGGCCGGCCGCAGCCGGTTCGCAGAGCGCTGGCTGCCTCGAGGTGGATGAATTGCCCCCGCGGTCTCCCACTGGGGCGTCAGAGTTGGGGCTCAGACTTGTGCAGGGTTGCACCTAAAGTCCTGAGGGACTTGGAGACTCTCTTGTACCCTTAAGTCGGACCTTCCAGGACTTCATGAGTGCTGGCCTCCTTGAGGGGCTTGGGGCGCTGGGATCCATGATCTGTGGATCAGGTCTGACTCTCCCCGCCCCCCCCCGCTCCCTCCGCGCCCCCCCCCCCGCCCCGCTCTCGCTTAGGTCATGGCCCTGGGTTCTTCGGCGGGATCTTCGGGGGGAGTGGGTTTGCGTTTTGCTCTGCGTTCTGGACCTCAGTTTCCTCAGTGTGGGACCCGGCAGCTAGTCGGTTCCTGAACGCACTTCCCTTTGCTTCCCCTGCAGGTGGAAGGGAGCCCACGCGGCGCCTGAAAATGGAAAGCCATTGAAGGCAGCTCTGGGCTGGGACCGCCCGTCGGACCCGGAGGTGGGGATTCCAAAGAGACCGCCAGGAAGCCCAGAGCTTGGAGTTCCCGCTCCCCGGAGCCCGGGTCGGCCTCTGCCGCCGTCTCGGAGCTCTGCACACCTTGTAAGGGGGAGGCAGGCTGCTCGTAGCCTCGCACCCCAGGAGCCGCGCTCCGAGGGAAGCCGCCACCGTGCCGCCTCTGCCTCGGCGTGGAACAAACGGTTAAAGATTTTGGGCAGCGCCTCGCGGGGGGAGGAGCCAGGGGCCCAATCCGCAATTAAAGATGAACTTCGGGTGAATTAATTTGTCTGACCAAGCTAACGTGAGCAGCAACCTGGGCCGCCTATAAAGCAGGCGCGCGGCGGGGTTCGGAGCGCTGGCGGCGGCGGCAGGTGGCGCGGGAGGCCGCGACGCGCCATGGGGCTCCCGGCGCTGCTGGCCAGTGCGCTCTGCACCTTCGTGCTACCGCTGCTGCTTTTCCTGGCCGCGGTCAAGCTCTGGGACCTGTACTGCGTGAGCAGCCGCGACCGCAGCTGCGCCCTCCCTTTGCCGCCCGGAACTATGGGCTTCCCCTTCTTCGGGGAAACACTGCAGATGGTGCTACAGGTAAGGGAGCTTGGGCGCCACGGGACGATTCTCAGGAGCCCGAGTCGGCTCCGGGCTTCCGTGAAGCCGGGGTAGGCGTCCCCGAGAGGGTGGTGACTACGGCTGGGACCCGGGCTAGCCCGAGGCGCGGCGCTCCCCGGCGCCCCCTCACGCCCGCCTCTCTCCTCCGCTCTCCTCTCCCAGCGAAGGAAGTTCCTGCAGATGAAGCGCAGGAAATACGGCTTCATCTACAAGACGCATCTGTTCGGGCGGCCCACCGTGCGGGTGATGGGCGCCGACAACGTGCGGCGCATCTTGCTCGGGGAGCACCGGCTGGTGTCGGTCCACTGGCCCGCCTCTGTGCGCACCATCCTGGGCTCCGGCTGCCTCTCCAACCTACACGACTCCTCTCACAAGCAGCGCAAGAAGGTGAGGGCGGGGGTGGCGGGGCCTAGACGGGAAGGCGGACCCCAGCCGCTGGAGGGGTTCTAGGAGATAGATGCCGGGCGAGCGCCAGCTGCATGAGGTGACCCGCTCAAGGCCACTTTAGCCGGGAAGTGCCTTGGGTCTGGCGGGGGTGGGGGTGGCTGGAAGGGGATCCCGGCAGGCGAGGGGGGCGCTTTTAACACTCTCCCTCCTCGGAGCTCAGGTGATTATGCGGGCCTTCAGCCGCGAGGCGCTCCAGTGCTACGTGCCGGTGATCGCCGAGGAAGTGGGCACTTGCTTGGAACAGTGGCTGAGCCGCGGCGAGCGCGGCCTCCTGGTCTACCCCCAGGTGAAGCGCCTCATGTTCCGCATCGCCATGCGCATCCTGCTGGGCTGTGAGCACCGGCTGGCGAGCGGCGGGGACGCCGAGCAGCAGCTGGTGGAGGCCTTCGAGGAAATGACCCGCAATCTCTTCTCGTTGCCCATCGACGTGCCCTTCAGCGGGCTGTACCGGGTGAGGGAGCGTGCAGGGTGAGGAGCAGGGGGCGCAGGGGCGCGGGGGCGCGGCCTCTGCTCACTGCGGTGCGTTCTCGGCGCTCAGGGCTTGAAGGCGCGGAACCTCATCCACGCGCGCATAGAGGAGAACATTCGCGCCAAGATCTGCGGGCTGCGGACCGCCGAGGCGGGCGGCGGCTGCAAAGATGCGCTGCAGCTGTTGATCGAGCACTCGTGGGAGAGGGGAGAGAGGCTGGACATGCAGGTGAGTGGCGACTTCAGGAAGGGGCGCTGCGGAATTTGGTCCCCTGGCTTTCCAAGCGCGGTTACCCAAAGCGCACGTCCGGCCTCCAGAGTGGGCAGACCGCCCAGACACCGGGGATGGGACCCGGAAGGTTGGGACACCGGGTCCGGAGAGCCGTGGGAGAGGCTGCAGCGGAACAGGGAGCGTCCCCTAGCCCGACCAGATTTTACAGGGAAGGTTGGAATTTGCAAAATGTAAATAAAGAATGTTGGGCGATTTTAATGCAACCAAGGCTTTCATTAAAGAATTCCTTGTGTAGTGAGATTTTACTGGCTTTCCGGCTCTAGCTGAACTAAAGGGACTGTGCATTTTGTTTTAAAAAAATGTAACTTTCCTTGGCTTTCTGTCAGCAAACTTTTAGCCCTTCTCATCTTCTTTCCAGAACCTTCAGTTCGGTTCTAAGTAACTGCTGTGTAAAATTGCATGCAGACCTGGTTAAAAAAAAAAAAAAAAGTTTGTCTTATTCCATTCTTAGGCACTAAAGCAATCTTCAACGGAACTCCTCTTCGGGGGACATGAAACCACAGCTAGTGCAGCCACATCTCTGATTACTTACCTTGGGCTCTACCCCCATGTTCTCCAGAAAGTTCGAGAGGAGCTGAAGAGTAAGGTAGGGGGACACTGGGGTTCCCTATTAGCTTAAGAAATTCAGCTGCTCCCTAGCCAACTTGCCAAATGTAAGTGTGCTGCCTTCTCTGAATATTTTGGAAAGCGCAGGGCTCAGGGGTGGGTGGGCCGGTGGGGAGAGAAAATTAGCTTTGTGAATAAAAAGGAAGGAACTTTGAGCTGTGGTCCCACTCAGGCAGGACTTGATCCTTGTATTCCTACCCCCTACTCTCCTTTTTGCAGTATGTTGGAGATTTTCAGATAGATTCTACTTTCTTGAATTTATGTGTCCAAGGGCAGGAATGGGGGAACTCCTAAGTGGTGGTGATAGTGGTGGTGGTGATGGGGGCGGGGTGCGGGGGGAGAATCTAGATGGTTCTAAGTGAGGAGCAGCATTCTCTTGGAATTGTAAATAGATAGTGGATTTGGGCCACGGGGTGGAGGCAAATGGTCATTAGCTGCTCACAGTTTCCCCCCCCCCACCCTCTCCCATCATGGGGCCCTTTGGGTCTGGCCGCCACTTAAGCCCTGTTTACGTCTGCTGGGCTGATTTTATTGGAGCACAAAATAACTGTTCACCTCTGTATGACTGTTTTGATAGGGTTTACTTTGCAAGAGCAATCAAGACAACAAGTTGGATATGGAAATTTTGGAACAGCTTAAATACATCGGGTGTGTTATTAAAGAGACCCTTCGCCTGAATCCCCCAGTTCCAGGAGGGTTTCGGGTTGCTCTGAAGACTTTTGAGTTAAATGTAAGTTAAAAGTTCTCTTCCTGCCACCCCCCCCCCCAACACACACTCCTTTTGTTTTCATTTTAAATCTCCCCTTGGCTTCCCTGTGCATTGGCTTACATTTCCTATGCTTTTGATACCATTATCCTTTCCCATGTGGACACGTGTTTCGGTAGTCTGAAGGTCTGTCTGTCCTGTCTCTCTCCTCACACCCCTTTTTTTCAACTCATAATTCCTCCCGTTATCAGTGATGGCTTTTTTTGTTGTTGAAAGTTAAGATTCCCGTTTGTCAGCCCTGGGGGCTTCATAATCTTTTGCAGGGCTACCAGATTCCCAAGGGCTGGAATGTTATCTACAGTATCTGTGATACTCATGACGTGGCAGACATCTTCACCAACAAGGACGAATTTAACCCTGACCGATTTCTGCTGCCTCACCCGGAGGATGCATCCAGGTTCAGCTTCATTCCATTTGGAGGAGGGCTGAGGAGCTGTGTAGGGAAGGAGTTTGCAAAAATTCTTCTCAAAATATTTACAGTGGAGCTGGCCAGGCATTGTGACTGGAGGCTTCTAAATGGACCTCCTACAATGAAAACCAGTCCCACCGTGTACCCTGTGGATGGTCTCCCTGCGAGGTTCACCCATTTCCAGGGGGGGGTCTGATGGGCTCGAGGGCCCGGAATTCAGACCTATTTGAAGTGTACATGAGTTTTTACACAGTGTCATGTTGATTTTATTATATTTAATTTCTAAAAATGTATATTATAATATTTATGTGTCTCCACTACAGTACAACAATCTTTAAATATTAAAATAATGAATTTGGATAGTTTCCAAATAAAGTAAAATCTGAAGGTGTTTGTCTTGCATTTAAGATTCCTGTGGGGGGAAAACTCCCTGGTTTTATATTTGTATATTTAACCTGATTTCGAAGTGTCTACATGAATGGCTTTATTTGTTATCTGTGCGTATCTATTTTCTTGTGAGGAAGAGACTTTAGCCGTTATTTCTCTTAACCGTTATTAGAAAACATAATGTGTGTGTGTGTGTGTGTGTGTGAGTTAGTCCAAACGTAACTTTGTAAATGTTTCTATGGTTTAGATACCCTATTTGGAAAATCTATCGAAGTGAGTTTTAGATTTTTTTTTTTTGCTTGCTTTGCTTTAGGGAAAGATGGATTTGAAAAGGTAATACTTTGAGAATCATCATACTCTAACGTAACACCTTCAGCCATAAACTTATTATGTTTAGTAAACATAATAAATCCATGTTGTTCCATAGTGCCAGCCCTGTTTTTCTGAAGGATTCAAGTAAGAGAAAGCTGGTCACTCTGATTACAGACAGTTATTGACCAAAATGAGACCAGAAGTTGCATGTGAAAACAGTATTGGAAGAGGCCAGCCTCTGGGTTAGATAAGCTAGTCCAGGTTTTCTTTATTGAAAATGAGGCAGGAGGAGCAGATTTAGCAAGCTGACAGATAAAGTTTTTATCTATGCCAGGCAATAGGGTGTGAGCCTGACATGACTGATAAAATGGCCCAGTCATGACCCTGTGAACCTTGGCTAACCTCCGGGAAAGCGCAGTTTGGTCACATTTCTGACCCTGGCATAGCCATGTTCTGAACTGAAGGCCAGACTCCCAATGCAGAAAGGTTAGCCCCGGTGACTTGCTTATGCAAGCACATTTTCAGTTTTGAAATGGCACAATCTGCTTACTGAACCTCTGATGGCTTGTAGGTTTTGGACTTTAAAGTTTTCATTACAATTTTAGAATTTGGCAATACTGCAGAAACTGGGTGGTCTAAATAGGTGTTTGAAAAGGGTTCTCTGTCTACAATTAGAGTTACATGTTCTACCTGACTTTATTTTTTAGGGAGAACTTGGGATTGTACTTATTCCTGGAATCATCTAATTTTTAAAGGGTGTTTACATAATAACTTAAAATGTCTTATAATAACCTTATAATGCTTTTATTTTTTAATGAGAAATTACAGGCTTACTTGGTTTTGGCCAAAGCTTTAGTGCACCTTGGTGTGCAAGATGACCCGGCCCCTCCTAATATTTGCCCCAGATGCTTCCAGCTAGGAGCACGCTAGCCTGAGGACATTATCTCAGGTAATTTTAAAGAGGCCATTTTATAGGGTTTCAGTATCTTTCATTTTGCCAGAGGACAGTTAAGCATTTTAAAATAACATCTTCGGTGACTCCCTGACTGTGTGTCTCTGTGAGCATCTGCAGAAAAGAATTGGAATCATTTTAGCATAGAATTCAATTTCTTAAATCCACCTCTATTTTTTATGTGGGGAGCTTTGAGGAAAGTGCTTCTGGCTTGCATTTCCCAGGTTACATTTCACCCAATTATGCTCATCGATTACAGAGCAGGGCAGAATTTACCTTGCAAAGTCGTTAAAAACACAATCTCTGATAATATGCTTCGTGCTGAGTAAAGGCCGTTTGGAAGTGTTTGAGCGCGAGGCAGAAGCCATGTTTGTGGGCTTCTAGGTTGAACACTCCTTGGCCTGGGTCACGTCTAGCTGGGGCAGGCAGGCACATTTTGTGACACAGACACCTCTGGGTCAGTGTCTGGGCATCACCCCGCGGAGAAGCATTTCAGGAGGAGGTCACTGTTCTAAAGGTAGAACCAGCCCAAGATACGGAAGGAGGGGAGACCCCTGTGAGGAATGGCTCTTTGAGGCTTCCTGCGGCATGCTAGGAGGGCACTGTGCTCTCCGGGGCCTTGGTGGGCCTGCCACGCTGGCAAAGTTGGTGCCCTCTGCCTCCCGTTCCTCATATGCCCTGGTCCTGGCCACCTGCCATCCCCTCTTTTCCTCAGTCAGGGGTGTGGTGCCGCCAATGACAGACTTTTGTCAGTCCTGGCAGGTGAAAGCCTCCAGCTGGGTCTCCAATGTAGGAGCATTCTGAGGGATGCAGCCTTCACCCAGTTTGGCCCTGGGAGGCCCAGTGAGGGACTGTGGCTTGCCTGGGCCCACCCAGGGAGTGGCAGAACCAGGAAAGGCCTCCTGTAGCCTTTTTTTCCCCCCCTTTCTTTTTTCAATAGCTAATCACACCTGCCTGATTTATCTCCAACTTTCCGTTGTAGGACAGCTAGACCCAGGGGTCTTCACCTCCTAACTTCCTGTTGTGTCCCCTGCTACCACTCCCCTGTCCTGTGACAGTCCAGATCACCCCTCTTGCAGGCTACCAGAAGCAACTGGTAAAATGGGAGCAGGGGCAGGAAGCTGCTACTCCCCCGGACCCCTCCTCTGTGAGGTTTCAGGGTGCTCTGTGCACTTGCCACCCCCCAGAGGTCCACAAGGGGGCGGGCTTCTCCCTTCTATGCCAAGCTCAGGGCCCAGTGGTTTTCCCCACCAGTGTCCATGAAATCCAGCATCCACGGACTCTAGCCCAAGGCCTGCTTTTACCCAAGAACAATGAGAGGCTAGCAAGTACTCAGCCTCAGGCCCGGTCAAGTCTGCCTGGCTCCTCTGGAAGCTCGCTGGGCTGCATAGATCTGGATCATCATCTAGTTCCTGAAGTGGCCACCATCTGTGGTCTTTGAGGCCAGCCGCTTCAGGTTTCCAGCGTTGCCTACAGACGGCCCACAATCTGACCTATATTGCTCTCAGTATCTCTGGAAAATGGCTCTCCGTTTTGAGAAGGGGGGAGCACATGTTTCGAAGGACACGGGCAGTGTTCAGATGACCTTAACCAGGTCCGGGAGCCATCCCACAGAAGTACCATGCAAGAAACGAGGGATATTTAGAGAGGTTTGGGTGGCCCCGCCTTCAAATAGTTCAAGGGTTGTTGCAGAAAATACAGGTTCAGGCCTGTTTCAAAGGACAGAGCGCGCACTTAGGAGGGTAAGTTAGAAGGAAGAAGTCAGCACCATATAAGGGAAACATTTTGAGGCAACTAGAGCCCTTTGGTGATGACACAGGTTACCTTCTGAGCAAGCAAGCTCCCTGTCAGTGGAGGCATCCAAACAGTAGCTGGAAAACTAACCCACCATCAGGATTCCGACATGGAGGGAGAGGTTAGGTTAAATGACCCCCAAGTTCCTTTACAAAATTAAAGAGTTGTGATTCTCTGAGATTTGATTCTGTATTAATTCGGTTCCCCAGATACGCACTGTGCTTTGCAATGCAGATTAAATGCAGTCTAGGGAGACAGGACACTACCTCATCATCCTCCGGGGGGCATTCGGCAGCTCTCGTTGACCATTCTGGCAAACCCCGGAGCCAGATGTGAAGGCGGGAGCGCAGGGAGCCTGCCGTGTGACCTCGAGTCCCCGGTGTTGATGGTGTTGATGGCTGGGGACGATGATGTCTCCTGCCCCGCAACCAAGTGCTTCCAGCTCCAGCTCCCGTACCTGCTCCGGCAGCCCCGGCTCCTCCCCGCTGTGCCATGCTGACCATCCGCCTGACCTAGCCTCTAGGGGAGTCCCTGTTGCTCTCTCCAGTGCTCCTCAGCCTCCTCGAGGCCACGCGCTGCCACCGGCCTCTGCCCAGCTGTCCTCGCCCTCAGCCTCCTGAGAGCCAGCCCAAGGTAGCAACTGTCTCATGGTTGCAAACTGAGCCCCCCTCCTGTGCCTCCCCGCCCTCCCCCAGAATACGTCCATGCATAGTAGGTGTTCTCTGGGAGAGAGAGCTTCTTGGGCCCAATCAACACCAGTCACCTTATGTCTTTCCAGCTTTGCGGTGCCATATTTTTTCTTTGAAAAGTGAAACTTTCATCCTTGGAAAATCTCAGCGGCCGCAAGCTTACACGGCTGTGGTTTAACAGCATGTCACATTCCTGAAACCGGCGCTTCATGGGTATTAGGCCAAACAAGCTTTCCTTCTTTTGAAGTAGAGTCAGCTCAAGTTAGAAACCTGGAACAGGGTGGAAACTTAGCCCAGGATTACGTGGTGGGCTTTCTGGGTGAGAGTTCTCGTGTTGCAACGCTCAGCACCCTGCCCCCGTGGCGCAGAAGCTGACCCCCTCGGCGGATTCTCACCCCTGCCGAGCCCCTCCGTGTCCGTCAAGGGGTGGGAAATCTACTCACTCGCTTTTGACCATAGATGCCTCAAGATTTTTATCTGAAGTCACTGATGGGTTCACTTAACTCAAATGCATTGTAAAAAGAGGACAAGGTGCTTTGCTTATAAGAAATACTTGACAAAGCATATGAACTGATTCATTAAACACAGCCATAGTGTCCAATGTAACAGTGGCTTATTTAATAATAGAGGAGGGGATTGGGTATTCTGAAATGGAGAGTTCTTTTAATGTCAATTAGTCATGGACTTTTAGAGCTGGAAGGGAGAGGACACACTGGTCACACAAGCCCCTCAGTGTACACCTGAGAAATCTGAGGCTCAGAGGAATTTAAAGTCACAACAGAGAATTAGGATTGGCGGCCCAGTGTTCAGTACATTGTACGGTTAGCCCTCTATTTAAAGAACTGTATTGTTTATTTACATATGTGCCAGAAAAAAAGGACAGGTGAGCAGATTCTTTGAGATCCAATTGCTTCCAGGTTCTTGCTCCTCACTGTGTCTCTGAAGATGCCTGGGCCCTCAGAAGCGCTGAGAACCTGGCGAGGTGTGGCCGCCGAGCATCTGACACGCAGCCTGGCAGAAGGTACAGACGGCTGGCGTTTCTGGGGCACCGCATTGGGGGTACGGTCTGCACGTTGGTAGAGCCAGATCCTTGGGCATTTTGAGTCTTTCCTACTGCACAGCAGAAAATGGTTTCTGTTATGGTTAAATTGTATTCCCCCACTCTCCTGCTCAAATATGAAGTCCTAACCCTCAGTAAGTGCATCAGAATGTGACCTTAGTTGGACATAGGGTCTTTACAGAGATAATCAACTTCACATGAGGTCTCAGGGTGGGCCCTAATCCAATATGACTGGAATCCTTACTAAAAGGGGAAAATTTGGACACGGAGGCAGGCACACCCCGAGGGAAGATGGTGGGAAGACTCACATGGAGAACAGGGTGTAGAGATGGAGGGCTCAGGCGATGTATCAACGGTCCAAGCAGTGCCGAAAGTGGCCAGCAAACCACCGGAAGCCGGGAAGTGGCAACAGAGAATTCCCCTCCAGGTTTCAGAGGGAGCTGACACTTTGATTTTAGACTTCTAGCCCCTGGAACTGTGAGACAATACATTTCTGCTCTTCTAAGCCACCAAGTTTGTAGTACTTTTTAACGGAAGCCCTAGAAAACTAATACAGTGGCCAAAAGCAAGAAACCTTATTTGTGAGAAACAGTGGTTCTTCCCCATACCTCAGAATCCCCTGGA